CCATCTTTAACTGAATCCCATCATTCATTAACCAAGGACCTATCCTAATACAAGCTGTTCTGGGATTGGTTCCTCTCATCTCCAAACCTTGATTCTTCCAAGGTAAGGTATTGTCTTTCCTTCAATTCCTGCCAACTGCCTAATCCCCCCACCCACCCATCCAGTCTCTGCTCTTTTGGTCATCCTCCTGCACTCTGCCTTGTAGGGTGGCAACTAGCCCCAGAACCATGCAACTCTGGAGATGCTTACCATGCTGCAGCTCAATGTCTACTTGACATGCCATAGTTCTGGGGCTGCAAAAAGCTCCTGAGCTGCAGCACAGTGAAGCCCTTTGCAGCATGAAGTCCAGCCTCAGTTGGGCACATCAGTGCATCACAAAGCCAAAGTTGCAGCCACCCCAGTCTGGTCCCAGTCCCCTTAACCACTCTGCACGCAACCACCCAGTTGACCACTGCCGTCTTCTCGTTCTTGCTGTTAATGAGGTGTGCCCTGCCTGGCTCTATGCAAGGCAGCTGCTGGCCCTGTGAGGCCATCTCTCCCAAATCTTGTAAGGAATTCACCATGTGCAACCTGGGAAGAAAGTCTTGTATGGCCAGCAGTTGCCTCTCAAAGAGCCAGAATAGGCAAACCTTGTCAGCAGCGGGAGCAAGAATACGACAAAGGTCAACAAGGGCAGCAGGACCCATGGAGTGGAGGGGGCCAAAAGATTATAGATGGGAGAGAGACAGGCAAGTCAGGGGAACTGAAGTGCCCCTTTGGTTGTAAGTGTGGGCGGGCTACCAGGCACTCAAATTTTGAACACATGACCATGGAGGTGCTGTAACTTCAGGAGCCAGTTACAGTTCATTCTGTGCCACCATAACTTTGAACAGGTGCTGAATGAATGATTATAAGTTGAGTACTACTTGTGCAGTACCAACACGCAACTTGCTGTGCCTGTTGATCATCTCTTGCCTGTTGCCTGTTTCAGGTAATTGAAGTAATCTGACTTCTTTTCAAAGTAGCCTATCCAACTTTATATTCCTTGTGCTTGCTCTTTGAACCAAATTTGAGTAAGGGGAGGTAGGAGTGAATATACAGCTTTGATACTTGTGCAGCTTAGAATGACTTAAGACTTGTCTCACTCATGAGCTGGGTAAATGTTTCAAGGACGTGTAGCAGAAAAATGTTGCCAGGGCAACTTTGTGTCTGGGTGCTACTAAAGAAAGCTCCATTTGAATGTGTTTGGTTCAGTGCAATGTCCTACTGAGATCTTGCATATATTTTACAGTCCTTTCCTATCTGTCATTTTTCTGATTATAATTCTGGACTCAAACATTTACAACTGACGATACCACATTAGTATTTGAGTACACTGAATAATTTGCTGCCCTTCATACAGATCCCCAGATGGGCGTATAAAAAATGAGTTCTAGTTTATGAAAGCTGTGGTCACCATACATTTTGGTGCAATCTTTCTATGTTCTTTGACTAATTTGAAGAATGAAAAAAGCATGAAAAAATGGAAATTGCTTATTGAAGTACTCTGAATGGATACAATTATTGGTAAAAGTATTAAGAGTTGTCAAAAATCCCATAGCGCCATCTAGAGGTTAAGGAGCTTAAAATCATGTTCCAGTTTCCATATTCAATAAAATTAACTCATTTAAAACACAAAATAGTGCTTTTTTTAGTCATAGAACTCACTGGAATGGAGTTCCAGCACCTTTTTTGATGGATTTTCTAAGTTTTAAAAGTAACTTGAAAATTTGATGTTTGGTCCACGTGGACGTGAATCACCTTGTCAAGTGTAGCAGGTTGACGGCAAAATCATTTAAAAAGTGCATGCGGGCTGCTTGTGTGTGAGTCCAATGCATGCATACTTTGTCCGGCTGCTCGGCTTGTGGCACTGCTCAGCTTGTGATTTGTCATGTGGTCACGCACTGAGTGCTTACTGTGCGCGGCAAACATTATGTTTCATTACACAACTGACGTGTATGGGTGTGTATACAGTGATTGACTACGTGCGAAAGGTAAACAAAAGATTAACAAGATGTGAGTTCTGGCACCTTTTTTCTTACAAAACAAACCACTGAAAATACTTATTTTCCAAACAAACTCCACATTGTTTTACTGAACCAATTTGACATGACGCAAGTATAAACGTGTGTCTTCCATTTCAATGAAGATATTTATCATCACTCAATACTATTAGCAGTCATTTAAAAAGAAAAACAAAATTTCAATTTTCAGTTAAACTTTAGGAAATACTGTACATGTAGCATAAAAATTACTGAAATGCAGCATAAACTTTCCTCTTGTAAAGTTTATTTTTACATTAGCATTTAGAAATAACATCTTTGCTTGTTTTTAATCCTTCAATTATACAAAATAAATATACATCTCATTTATATAATATATAGCAAAATACAGTTAAGGTCATAATATGACAAAAGTGAGAATGCAAAATATCCCATAAATAGGTATAATGAAAAACAATATTTTAACCAAAACACTTTACACTTTGAGGAAGTTATTGAAGAGAAAAATTGACATTTCATTCCTTTGATTTTTTGAGATATCTCAATTTGCACACTTATTTTTTTTTTTAAAAAAAACAGGAACAGCAGGAGAACACCACTTAGAAATTACCAGTACCATAGTAGATGTTTCAGTAGTCCAGTTACACTCCTGTTGCTTTAAGATCAAAACCCATCCTTGTATTTTCAGGGTCCCCAACGAGGCATTATGGGGAGGCAATCTACTTTTGGGCATTTCTCTCGGTGCCCACCAGATGCCCTCCCTCCCAGATTGTTTCTGTTAAAGAAAACTAGTTTTACAAAGGAAAGCTAGCATACTAGAAAGCAAAGGGCCAGCTCCCCTCATTCTACGCTACATACAGCTTGTTCTTCTCCAACTTAAAAATCCAGCAAGGTGAGAAGAAAGGCATTGACCTCTCTATCCTATCACTACATGGATGTTCTCTTACCCTGGATAAGACAGAAAGCTCTGTTCTACATGTCTGGCAATAGTAAACTGGCATTGCTAGAACAGATGCTCTCTTTCCATTAACTGGGTTTCCATGCAGGTTGCTTAGGAGAATCACTTCTAATGTGAGAAAGGGAGCAAATTACTTCTTGATGGAATGAATATTATTTTCCCCTCATCTCCAGCTCTCTCAGCTGGATTATTCTGTACTTCTTTCAGCAGCCAATTTAACTTCTGCATTTCAGAGAGAAAAAAGAGGCACATTACCACATTTCAGCTATTCTTTTGGCAGCCCACTAACTGAACTTGTGCCTTCTAATCGCCCATAACAAGTAGACCAAAAAGCAAGGCTAACAGAAATATTTAAGAGTTTCTTTGAGATGAAAATGCACATCAGTGAATCACATATCAATTATAATCCATAACATACTGTATGTTGGAAATGCACAATGCCTCCTGATATCAGTTGACTAGTCATGCACTTTGTATTAACAGGAGACAAGAATGCTGTTTTGTGTAAAACATTCCATATTTAAATTAATTCAGCCACATGTAAAATAACCTGGTCTCTTCACAGCAAATTAGTTTGAATATTGTTTGAATGTTAGATGAATCTGTCATTGTTATGGTCTCCTGTGTTAAGGTTTTAAATTTAACCTCTTTAATATTTTCCTTCTCAATTTTGGAAAAAACGTTTGGGTAAGTTTTTATAAAAAACAAACTGAATGGAATTCTCATGCACACCTGTTCTGAGGTAGATTCTATGAAACAAATTCAAGAGGCTCAAAAATAGTTTTTTTTAAATATTATGTTTAAAATATTTATTAACACTTTAATATTATGTATAAAATGAAAATAGGAATAAGAATAATATGTAAAAGGTGAAGTACTGGGTTTCACTCTAAGGACTAAATTGCTTAGCCACTGAGATAGTTGTTCTTAAACTTTTATTATATATATTCTTTCTATTCCATGCAAAATAAATACTGTTGGAAGGCCTTGCCTCATAGTAGTGAAATTCTTTGAACAACATTTCTCAAATTTGCATGGAATTATGGCAGTTGCAATCCAACAAATCTGGACAGCTAAAGGAAGTCTGCATCAGAACATCTGTAGATCGTCATATTGGGATATCTTGGGCACGTGACAAAAACACACAGAAGACAAGGGAAGAACTTGCAATGATGCAACCCTCCCTGGTTGGTGTTTAATTTACAGGGAATGAATAACTGAGCCAAAGAAAACACACATTTTGATGGAAAGTGACCTGCTCAGCCAGATTTTAAAACATTGCTCTTGAGAAAAAATATGCAAAAACAAAACACAGATTTATCTGAAAAAATGTACATTGAAAAAGTTTAGCCATTCCATATTTCAGTTATCACTCTCTGCAATCTTTCAGGATAAGAATGCAAGTTAAACTGCACCTCACCTTGTATACCAAGCACTCCTGCAACCCTGTTGTTTTACTTTTTTTTTAGTTGAATATAAACAAACTACTCCATGAACAGGAAATCTAAAAAGGATGGCCCCTCAAAACAGGAAGGCATGTTAATATCTTGAACCAAATTTGGCACAAATCTGCAGAGGCTGATTGCTCAATGCACAAAGAAATACACAGATACTTTACAAAATACTGGAATGGGGGGGGCATGTCTGAATCCTAGCTCCTAATAAAACTAAGTCTCCATTAGAGTGTTTCTCAACTTTAGCAACTTTAAGATGTGTGGAGTTCCTAGAATTCTGGGAGTTGGACTTCCACACTTCTTAAAGTTGTCAAGGTTGGAAAACACTGCTCTTCTGAATGTTTGCATAGATCTATTATCAGAACCCACCAAAGCAGAGACTGTAATGTCCCCCACCGACCCACCTTTTGGGCTGAGCAACATCAGCAACATTTATAGTTGCATTAAACTGCACCATTCCTTTATTTCAGTATGCATGTGCAAGAGCCTTCCAAAATAGTATACCAATCATCCATAACTGTGCTTCCACAACTTAACGCTATAAGTAATCAGACATTTTACACTGAAAAAAATGAAGTCAAGTTCACCAGAGATATAACAGAGAAGTATCAACATCATGTTCACTTAGCTCATTGGACAGAAAGAATGGCGCCCTATGATATCAGAATGAACTGACAAATTCTCTGGAAAGTCAGACTTGCATAATGGCCAGGAACCACACCTGTTAGGAAACGGTCATAACCTTCAATTCTAGCGCTGGAGGCTTCTTAATTTTCTTTTCCTTCATTATTTGGTGAGACAGTGTGTTTAAAAACCACTCCAAATCTTGATGGTCTTCTGGCCATCTCAGGTACTGCCCTCTTTGCAAGAAGATCCTGATTGGTTGATATTTCATAAGCTGATATTGAGAAAGAGATCCAGCTACCACCATTATAAGTATATCCTCCAGATCAGAGAGATACCTGCTCTGGGCAAAATTAAAGGCTTCCACACACCAGCCATCCTTGAGAAACTGTCTTGTGACCACACAAATTGTCTTCTTGCAGTTCCAGACAGCATCATGAATATTACTGATATGATCCTCCCCAGGCAGGAAGTCTCTGTCTTCAAAGCAGAGAGCAAATCTGTTCTTCTTAGAATATTGAGTATCTAGATGCTTTATCAAGGAATTTTGGACCCACTCAAAGTCTTTGCTGCTATAGCAAAGATAAGCATCATATTTGTATCCTTGTTGATCCAGATCTGGTGGAAGCTCCTTCATGAGGAATTGTATGAGTGTTTTATACGAGAGGAAACAAACGCCCCTAAAACGAGAAAAAACAACTACTGCTACTAGAAACATAATTATACTAACACAAGTAAAAATGAAGAGCGATAGCTGTAGAGGCTCCATGAGCTTGTCTTCATTGCAATTCTCTGTATTTAAGCCATGGAGAGGAATATTAGCAAATTCTGGTGGTCCAGAACAAAATATGTCATAGCGTGAGCCATCTAAAGTAACATTGGTTTGGTTTAGCCACATAATAAAGTCGCTTAATAGGCAGTTACAGTAAAATGTGTTATGGGTGATATCCAGCTGGTCTAATGTTGCAAAGATCTGAGGATCAGGGTAAAATAGCTGATTTGATGACAAGTTAAGAGCTTTCAAGTTTGTAGGAAAGGAATCTTGAGAAATGGAAGTCAATAGGTTGTTAGACAAGTTAAGTGTCTTGAGTGACATTAGCTCACTAAATATACCCTCTGGGATGAAAGTAAGGTAGTTGTTATTGAGATGGAGAACTTCCAAGTGGGAAAGGGCTTTGAACACATCCAAACATAAACCTCTCTCCCATATAAGCTTTAGCATGTTGTCTCCAAGGTCCAAGTAAAGCAACTGATTGTCTTTTGCTATGTCTTTGTATTTGAAGCAATAGGATAAACGATTGTTTTTTAAAACAAGATACTGCAGTGCTGGAAATTGGAGAAGTTCATAGAGATCACCCAGATTCCCCAATTTGTTTCCTTCTAAGTTAAGGAGTGTGGCATTGATAAATTGTATTTTCCAATATGGTGTAGACTCTATCCGGTTGCCACCTAACATAACATTGAGGAGATTTGGGAGAGAATTGATTACTTTTAAAGCGTTATCCCGGAGATCCACGTGTTGAAGCCGTGGTAAGGATCTGAATGGATCTCTATCAATCACTCCAATGTGATTATGTTTTAGATCTATATGAATCACATTAGGAAGCCCTTCAAAAGTGTCCTTAAAGAGCTCACCAAGCAGATTGTTTGATAGGTATAGATGTTGCAGATTCTGAAGACCAAGAAATGCTCCTGTCTCAATTTTATTTATGTTATTATTGTTAAGATTCAGCAGCTTCAAATCATGGAGATGCTGAAATACTTGTGGTTTAAGAGAAAAAATCCAGCCTTCTGATATATCAAGCAAGATGAGGCCACTGTCATTAAGACTTGCAAATGTATTAATATCAGGATCAGGAAGATTATTAAATCCAAATGATGCACCCATAGTATGAGAGGAAATCTTCAAAGCCAAAAGTGGGGATCCTCTAATAGCTGCACAAAATTGCCGCGTTAGAGTTGTACCCCAGCCATTACTCCCAACATCCAGTGTTTCTATGCTAACATTTTTTAAAGGATTCCCACAAGTAGCCCAATTCATAGAACTTCCATACAAATTAGTATTATAAAGAATAAACAATTTGAACCTTGCTCCTCGAAAATTATTAAGATCCCCTTCACAGATAGATTCAATACGGTTGAATCCTAAATCTAGAATATCCAAGGATTTCATCTTATAAAATATATTGTGAGGGCGAACACGAGTGATTTTATTATATCTGAGGTGCAGATATTCCAATGAAATCAAATCTCTGAGGTAATCCTCTTCCAGAATGGATTCATCAAGCCCATTTTCATATAGAAAAAGATTACGTACTCTAAACAAGCCCACAAAAGCATCAGGGTCTAACACCATCATTTTGTTGCCATTCAAATCCAGTTGTAGAAGGTTTGGCAAATTCCTAAAAGCATCTTTTCCTATAGTTAAAGGAAAATATTTTTGGCCCACAAGGTATAAAATGTTTAGTTTCTCCCTCAGAGGGAATGAGGTTGCATTAACTTCTTGGATGAAATTAAAGTTTAGGGATAGAATAACAACATGTTCAGGCACAGGTGGCACCCAAGTGAGATTGCATGAATTATAGAAGGCTATCACGTTTTCCACTGAACAGTTTCGAATTGCGAATGTTTCTCTGCTCACAAGCACTGTTCCAAGCACAAATATCATGCAGTGACAAAACATCGTGCTCTCAATCTGTGCCTGGAGGAAAAAGATGGGAAAAAGAAAAGCGTTATCATTTGCATTGGACCACAGAATCTGAATTAAACATAACAACACAGGTTATATAGAGAGATCAAAGCTCATCTAATATCTTTTAAAACACTGTTATTGCGAATTCTTGAAAAAGGTTGCCATGTTAGTGATGTTCTGCTTATTTTCCCTTGGATCTTGTTTATATCCCTTGTTATACAAAGTATGCCGCTTTGGAAAATGGGAAAATTCTGTATTTTCATTATAGCCTAAGAAGAACATTACTCAAAATGAAACTTGTCAACATAGAGTTTTCCTATTTTCCACAGAAATAAAGTACATTGCAGCTAACAGTCATGCTTTTCCTATCACTTTTAGAAAAGAAGGCAGAGAAAAGAGAAAGGATCTCAAATTATGGATGTGCCACTTTTTTGAGCTCAGAATTTCATTTCATTTTCATTTCAGAATTAGATGCAGCAGTTATTCTCCCTACAAGTTTGATAGTTTTTCTGTTTCTGATGGACACAAAATTGCATAAAATTGTTGACTTTTCAAAGACCCTGGAGATCTATATTTAGGACTTCCAGGAGTAACATTTAACTCTGGAAACAGAGTTGTGGACCTGTAGTTCAAGGTACAGTTGTTATTTGTTATGTCCCGACTTTCTGAGCAAGTAATGCCTAGGAGAAAATGTAACTCTAGGATGTCCTAACTATAAACCACTCTGGTTAATTTTCTAAGTTCTCATAAAAGCTACTCATCCAAGATATATTAAATTGCATTTGGTTTTGGACAATTCACAAATACTTGTACCTATCTAAACCTTATTTAATTATTTGATGGATAAACAAGATAAATGATCTTCCATGTAGATACCACAGCAAGTCACAAAGCTAAACAAGTTTAGTAATTTAAAGAACACCACTAGGAAATCTGAGGGCTAAAGAGTAATTCAGGAAGTTATAAAAACATCCTAAAAGAAGGCAACAACAACCCACTTCTATGTTATTGTCACTTCTATGTTATGCATGGAGCCACTGGAAGTCAGATTTTACTTGAAGGAAATCTGGCATTTTTAAAAACTTTTGAAGGCACCTGCTTTTTTGTTTGTTTTGTATTTGAATAACAGAATACCAGAGTTGGAAGGGATGAGGTCTTCTACTCCAAGCCCCTGCTCAAGCCTATACTGTTTCAAACAAATGGCTGTCCATTCTCTTCTTAAAAACCTCCAGTGTTGGAGCACCCACAACTTCTGGAGGTAAGTCATTCCACTGATTAATTTGGTTCTTCCCTATCAAAACTTAATTCCAAGACTCCAGGGAGAGCTCTAAATTTCCCATGCCTTTGCGGCTACCACCAACCCTTTCCCGATTTGGAAATAGTTTTCTTTTCTCCTCTGTTTCTTTCTATTTATGAGATGTCATTTGTTGAAATGTGGGAAAGGCACAATTAGAATCACTTTTTATGTACAACATTTGACAGTGAATCAAATGAACTGTTAGATAATTTGAAAACAGAATTATTAATACGAACACTTAAAAGTACAATTTAGGATACCTTCAGTACTCTTCCCTCTGGAATTAACTGGGAGAGGGTTCCCAGTGGCAGTTCTGATAACCAAGTCATCATAGAGCCTTTATCATATGTAATAATCATATATGATTATATCTTGCACACTCTCAGTCTCTGATACAAATGAAAAGTGCTTTGAGACTTTCAGGTAATATTTTGGCTGATAGTTAACATCCCATCCAAATCTGCCTCCTCCAGCTCAGCTCGCATTTGCACATCCTAAGTCTCTTAACCGACTTTGGCTCTTTCTGCGTGCCCTCTTACCCATCTCTATTTCCTTATGCAAGTCAGACAAAGACTGGAAATTCATGATAACAACGATCAAGTTGAAGTCTCATCCATGAGATTTACCTCTGTATGCAGGAAGAGACTTCAGCTCACTAGTTCTTAGCAGATAAGATGAGGGGATAGAAAATGACTGTCTGGGATGCCAGACTGTGAAGTGGGTGTTTCTCATGACCTCTATCCCCGTTCTCCAGGGTTGTTCTTAACAAAGCTTTGCCACCAGAAATGCAGTTCAAGATTCCTGATCCCCAATGAACATGGAAGGTACGTGGGATTTGAACGATTTCTTAAAATGCCTCAAAGATTACAGCACTGAAGAAATGAGTCTCTCCTCTTTCAACAAAACCCTCTTATGAAAAGAGGAAGATTTATTTTCTGCTCAGCATGCCTAACTGACAGCTTTGTAGAAGAACTCAACAGATATCCAGCGATATTTCAATGCTACTAGCTTAATGCCCCACAGAAGGGAATTGTGCAATCTGCAAATGGAAATGAGAGACACACCAAAGCCAGTTACTTCTGTTTGTCCAAAGTCATTAACCTTTGCTTAAGCAACAAGAGCATTAGTTCAATGTGCCCTCTTTGCTGATGGTGTTGTAATTCGAATCAGAATGACAGAAGAATGACTGAGATCTACATTATATGCAGATCTAAGTAATTAAGAATTAAACAGCACATTTTGAATCAAGGAGTGAGGTCATGCTATGTAACATCTGTGAGTTTCACTTTTTTCCACAAAGAGTTGCTTTCCCAGTTTCATGTTTCTTCCATCGTGGTGATGAAAAAATTTGCCTCACCTAATATACCCCTCAATTCATAATAATGCTAATCTCACCAGACTTTTTTCTATTGAAATCATTCCTTTCCCCTTTTAGATTTGAAACAGGAATCACCCTTTAACACATATATCTGGGAACCTGCAAAGGGGGGGGGGAATATTCAAGAAGAACATGAACAGGGAAAGGCTTAAGCCATCTATGTTGCTTAAAAACCATAACCTGATAAGCTGATTTTCTAATAAAATAAAAGTGTCATTTGTATGTGGTGTGCCTCAGGCTTACATTATATTAATCTTTTCTGGTAAGAAAGTGGTAATAAGAATTATCACTAAAGCTGCTCAAATTTGATAATAAAAAAGGAAGGACATAGTCTGCTTTCTCTCATATCCAAACATATGAGAAGAAAGTAATTTCTGTCTGAAAGCTTATGCTTTAAAAAAAAGATGAGGATGAAATAAGAAAGGCTTCACATCCCATGCTAAGTCTGCTCTACAGGAAGATCCATGGAATGCATAGTTTTTCTCATGACTCCATGCCAGGCCAGTAATTTATAATAACCAGGACTGAAATCTAATAAATGTGTTAATAATTCTTGTGATAAAGATGGTAAGTCACTTCTTTATATATTTCTTTTTTCTTTCCTAAATTCTTTTCTTTATTTTCTATTTTTATTTTTTTCCTTTCTTTTCTGTATTATTACCTATAATCAATCATCTATCTATCTATCTATCTATCTATCTATCTATCTATCTATCTATCTATCTATCTATCTATCTATCTATCTATCTATCTATCTATCTATCTCATCTCTCTCTACCATCTATATTCCACCTTTATTATTTTTATGTATAACTCATGGCAGCGAACATATCCGACACATCCGACACATTTTCCTCCTCCTATTTTCCCCACCAGAACAGCCTTTTGAGGTGAGTTGGGCTAAGACAAACTCACAGACTCTGTCTTTCTAGCCTGCTGCCTTCCCCACTAGACCAAATTGGTTATTCTTTCATCTTTTAAAAAATGTGTATTATTTTTTACCATTGTAATAATAATCCTTCATAAAATAACTATTATAAAAAGAAAATGGGAATATATTTTTGAGAAAGAGTATTCAATATAGGTCAACTATGATAAAAATCATTCTTTTACATAAAGTAATGCTAGCAAACTCTTCCCAGCTGTCTTAAGGCAATGGAAGTCAAAATCAAGCAAATACTGACCAAAAGTTGCAAAATGGAAAAGCAAAGTCAGTCAACAGTTCTTTTTAATCCCTTTCAAAGTTGGCAGATGATTTGTAAACTGCCTCTGAATTGCTTCTTGCTCACAAGGTTGCTTTGATAATCTCAGAGAGGAACAGGCAGCCATTCAGAAGGGGGACCAACAACTGGGAGTCAAAGGATTGTTTGAGATACTGTCAAACAGTCAAAAATGTCACCCACACATCAGAGGGAAAGTGGCAAATAAAAGAAGATGGACTTGCAGTGGGATTATTGTTATAATGTACCAGAAAAAGGTTGAGACCTTTGTTCTAACAGTGGTTACTAACTTAGAATTTCAGCAGAGCTTTTCTTTGAAGTAGTTACTAGTGGTGCAACACTATAAATTGTGGAGAAATATCTGTTGACCTTTTTATACTCTTTGTCAAACCAGCTTTTGGTGCTGAATCTTTGGTATGGTAACTATTTTTTTTTATTGGTTAGAAACTTCTGCAGCCTCAGAATGACTATGCCATAATAGTTCGCGATGTGGTTTCCTGAATCAGACATGGAACAGAATGGTGATTATTTGGAATAGATTATTTTTTTGCAGGAGCTTGGTTCATGTGCTTCTTCTTCTTGATGAGGCAAGCCCAGAGATGGCCTAAGTACAAACAATTCTAGATGGGAAGCTTAAAATTTAAATTTAAGGCCAGTAGCACATGATCATTATTTGGATGGGAGGCAAACGTTGTTTATTAGACTAAATTTTGATAATTTTCACCCAGAGCAGAAGAAAAATCTCCTAGACTGTCACCGTCCATCCAATTTCAATGAATTAGTCATTTGTGCTGGTTTAAACTTTGCCAAATTACATTTAACATTCTTGGACAGCCATGTTCTCAATGACTAAATGATAGCTTTGACATTTTGCAAGAAAGGCCTTATAATTTGATCCCTCTCTAGCATTTGAATTTCCCCAAACAATACTCATTAGCAAACGGGCAATTAAATGAGCCCATTTAATTTATTTATATTAAATAAAGTCACATCATTTCCCAAAACAATATCATTATGTCATATACTTTAGCAGTTATACAGAGTTAAATACATCTGACGAAGAAAGAATATATTAGATATAGAACAATGTGTTTTAGGATTATAGCAAACAGTCTTATTTCTGAAGAACTACTCAATGTACAGTCCTGAAATGTAATCAGAAAGATCCACCAAAAGCTTAATTAATCCTGAACGAACTTCTCCAAGTGGGAGTTGTAGTCCCAATGTATCTGGAGGGTATCACAATGAGGAAAATTGAAAAAGAAGCTCATTCTTGCTTCATTTGAGAGAGACTCAGGGGCTATATAAGATGACAATAATCCTTACTAACTTTATTCATCTGTAAATAATTTGGCACTGCAAACAGCCATTCTTCCCATTTCTAGACAGGAGACCATCAGAAAACGTGATTGAATTCTGCTATGAATCAAACTCTTCTGAATTAAAGCAGATATTTCAGCCCAAGGAACTCTGGTCCTAGCAAATATTTTCCTTTTGTCTTATTAGGAACAAAGAGATTGGGTTACAACAGCCTCACAGCTCACAACATTCTGTTGTAGACAACTGCTATTTGTGGTTCTTCCTTTATCCCCACTGTCTGCTCCTTCTTGAGGTTTTAATTATAGGGCTCTTAATTTGACTTATGGTTATATGTTTATTCCACTTTCTTCGAAAAAGCTTAAGAAGACCTATATAATCTCTTTAGTCCATTTTATTACTAGGCAAACCTGTAAAATAAATGAAGTTCAGGGATAGTCAGTGACCCACAGTGAGCTTCATGGGTGATCAAAATCTCGGACTTCCTGGTTCAAACCCAATCTTTCTATATCATTTTGGCTTTCATGACATAGGATTCTTGAACTATTTTTAAAATTATTTGTGTGTTTGCATAAACATGTATGCTATCTTTCTCTCTCACACACACATATATATGCCTTTGATTCAATCTTAACTCCTGGCAATTGCCCGGACAAGTGCTGCAGTTTGCAGTTTTCTTGGCAAGAGTTTTGCAGGTAATTTGCCAGTGCCTCTTTCCTAGGGCTGAAGGAGAGTGAATGGCCCAAGGTCACCTAGCTGACTTTGTGCCCAAGGCAGGACTAGAACTCAGCCTCTCCTGACAGGAAGTCAGCTAGTAAGAGAAACAGAATGGCCCCAATCACCCCACTCCATATTACTTCTTTTCAGAGCATATTGATAATTACCATTGAGGTGTACGTAATGGAACAGAAAAATTCCTGGTTTGATCTAGGACAGTGGTTCTCAACCTGTGGGTCGGGACCCAATTTGGGGTCGATCGACCATTTCACGGGGGTCGCCAAGCAAGGCTGTCCACCATTTTTTTTGTCCGCCATTTTTTTTGTCCGCCATTTTTTCCCCTTTTCCGGCGGGTGCCTTACCTCCCTTGGGCTGGGCCAGCTGGTGGTCGGCCTGCTCCGTCTCTGCTGCTTGCCAGCTATGCCTCGGCCGGCACAGGGGGCGGAACCACACATGCGCGGCACTCCCGGGCAGGGAAAGTCCTCGACTTACGATCGGTTGGGTAGTCCTCGACTTACGACCGGTTTAGTCCTCGACTTACGACCGGTTTAATCCTCGACTTACGACCGTTTAGTCCTCAATTTACGACCGGTTTAGTCCTCAACTTACGACCGGTTGGGGTCGTGGCATTAAAAAGGTTGAGAACCACTGATCTAGGAGGACTTTCAAGCAGTTTCCTTTTTTCTTTCTTTTTTTTAACTTTCATTGATTCTTATCCACTTGTGAGAGAGGAAAAAAATCTCCAAACCTCAGAAAATGAGATGTTTTCAGGAAGAATGCTGAGCGGCTAGGACAGAAAAGAGACAATCCTGGTTGTACCCATCACATAGTGACTTCCCTGTAGCATCTCTGCCAGTTTGGTCTAGGCTTTAATATTACCCACCTAAGGGAAAAAAAAAAAAGACAAGGTTCATTGTTAACGTACAAAAAACACAAAAAAGAACATCCTTTGGAATCTATGGTTTGAAGTGCTTCCCAATAAAGCAGATTCCCAATAAATCTGGATATTTTTTTAAAATCTGCAATTCACAAAATTAATTACTTTTAAAAGAAGGGGTTTTTTTAAATTTGTAAGTGAGCTATACTACTTCTTCCATGTCTTTGCCAGTAAAACATGTACTCTTAATAATCCCTAAATTACTCTGGATGCCAAGAAAAATGTCTTTTGCTTTAAAGACAGTTCTCATCTTCTTATTGATATTCAGAAAATATTGGAAAAGACCTCCACTTAATGTTGTTACCAGTCTTAAGTTTCCTTTACAGACAGCTATATTTGTGTGATGTTTGGCTTTTACTAAGAACTATAGACGTGCATGAAGATCAGGTCAAGAAGAAGAGCAATTTGGGCAGCTACTCAACTTATATATTTCATTTTACCAAGGATCGGATTTAGTTTTGTCAAACAAAAATAGAAATGGGAAGGAAGGAAGGAAGGAAGGAAGGGAGGAAGGGAGGGAGGGAAGAGGGAGGAAGGAAGGAAGGAAGGAAGGAAGATTAGTATTTGAGAAGGCAAAAAGCTAGATATCTACTGTATAATAAATACAAACTATTCACAGAAATCTGGCTACTCTACAAACCATATTAAATTTAGGACTACAATGCAATTTAAGAAATCTTAAACTATATCACATACGTATATTTGTAAGATATTGAACTAATTTTTGCATATGATAAAACTATAGTTTTTCTGAAGTAAAAGGCAATGTTATTTTGGGACGTAGATTGGTAGCTTTATAAAATAGTCACTTCTTATAGAAGACGTAAGATGTCCTTTCTAAGATACTGTCTGTCTACTGCAGCCTTGTAAGAAAGTAAGGCCATACTTGGAGTATGGCATCCAGTTTTGGTCACCACGATGTAAAAAAGATGTTGAGACTCTAGAAAGAGTACAGAGAAGAGCAACAAAGATGATTAGAGGTCTGGAGGCTAAAACATATAAGGAACGGTTGCTGGAATTGGGCATGTCTAGTTTATTGAAGAGAAGGATGAGGGGGGACATGATAGCAGAGTTCTAATATCTCAGGGGATGCCACAAAGAAGAGGGAGTCAAGCTATTTTCCAAAGCACCTGAAGGCAGGACAAGAAGCAATGGGTGGAAACTAATCAAGGAGAGAAGCAACCTAGAACTAAGGAGAAACTTTCTGACAGTTAGAACAATTACGGTAACCAATGGAACAACCTGCCTCCAGAAGTGGTGAATGCTCCAACACTGGAAGTTTTTAAGAAGAGACTGGACAGCCATTTGTCCGAAATGGTATAGGGTTTCCTGCCTGAGCAGGAGGTTGGACTAGATGACCTCCAAGGTCCCTTCCAACATCATCATCATCATCATCATCATCATCATCATCATCATCATTATTAAAACTATTATTTTTTTAAAGTGCTCCACACAATGAATCAGAATACATTTAAATTTTCTGAAATATTTATCACAGCTCTTCTACAAAGACATGCAAAGATAAGGATTTTGCAATAAAACGATTGCTTTAGCAAGAACTCTAAGGCTCACTGTATTTGTGACAACCAGAGCTGGTTATTTCGGGGTGGGGGTGGGGGTAGGCAGCAATTTTGTAACAAGCACCACCACCACCCCAAACAAATTCTGAGAATTTCATGCTTCATTTTTATGATTAGTTTTCAAAGTTGAGATGAAATGCTTGAAAATGTGTTAAAAATCCTTTGGATGAAATTTTTAAAGCTCTCCATGTCTCATAACTGGCAGTTACAGAAATAACTCTGAAAAAGGAAAAATTGTGCAAGCCTGCATATACTTGTAGAAATTAGAAAATGGTGTGTGTGGGGGGGGCGGTTGGTACAGAATTTAGTCCAGGGTATAGACCAGGGGTAGGCAACCTTGGCTCTTTTATGATTCGTGGACTTCAACTCCCAGAATTCCTGAGCCAGCTAGGAATTCTAGGAGTTGAAGTCCACGAGTCATAAAAGAGCCAAGGTTGCCTACTCCTGGTATAGACAATGCAAATAACATGCCACACTATACAGAGATCAGGAGGTAAAGTCTAACGTTATGCAAACAGAAAGTACCAAACGAAGTGCAAAATAATTTTTATCTAGTTTAAATAAAAACTGTATTTTGCACATTGATAAGATATTACATGTCTGTTTCAGGCTCTCAAAACAGAAATCATTCTGAATCCAGAACTAGTTAAAGGGGAGAATATGATTAATAAGAGTCCAAATGATAATTGATTTCCCACTTTTGAAAAAGGTTTTATTTTCTTTTTTTTTTCCTGGTTATGTATAATGATAATGGGAGACTGGGGTCTTCTTGTTTCAATGTTCCCGGTCCTAAGTAACAGCCATATCTGAACATTTCCTTTTTATAAAAAAGTTGAATAATTGATTATGTACAATCTAATCAATATTGGCAATTTCTGACAACTGTAGTCCCAATATACATGGAAGTTGTTATGCAGGCATTCTAATACCTAACCCAGTGGTTCTCAACCTTTTTAATGCCGCGAACCCCAACCGGTTGTAAGTCGAGGACTAAACCGGTCGTAAGTCGAGGACTAAACCGGTCGTAAGTCGAGGACTACCCAACCGGTCGTAAGTCGAGGACTTTCCCTGCCCGGGAGCACCGCGCATGCGTGGTTCCACCCCCTGCACCGGCCGAGGCGTAGCTGGCAAGCGGCAGAGACGGAGCAGGCCGACCACCAGCTGGCCCAGCCCAAGGGAGGTAAGGCACCCGCCGGAAAAGGGGGAAAAATGGTGGACAAAAAAAATGGCGGACAGCCTTGCTTGGCAACCCCCGTGAAATGGTCAATCGACCCCAAATGGGGTCACGACCCATAGGTTGAGAACCGCTGACCTAACCAGAGGAAATTCCCTTCCTGACCTCCCTGATAAGGTCGCAAGTATATTACAATATGAAAGCATCAGCCGTGACATTCACAGCCATTGGAGATAAGAGGCTGACATGTGTGATGCTCTTTCCTTGAGGGCAAAACCTATACAGCTCAGAAGCAAGAGGCTCAAAACTAGATTGGGGCTTAAAACTGCTAAAACAGCAATAGCACTTACACTTATACACCACTTCATAGTGCTTTATAGCACTGTCTGAGTGATTTACTAATGTCAAATATTGCTCCTAACAATCTGGGTCCTCATTTTACCAACCTTGGAAGGATCAAAAGCTGAGTCAACCTTGACCCGATCAGGATTGAACTCCTGGCTATGGGCAGTTTGCCTGCAATACTGCATTCTAACCACTGCGCCACCACAACTCTTATGGACATGCATGTAAGGATGTCTGTTTCCAGTTTCTACCAGGCAGAAATGTCTACAGTATATATGTGTCAATATATTTAACCAAGTAAAGACAGAAACTGCATTCAAAGCCCCACACTCATTGTTCCTCTCTCCCTCATAAAAAGGACTTGGCCATATGGTCATGACCACCATCTTGAGGTTTTTTACACGCCCCTTGCCCCCTGGATGGGATGCTCCTGTTACCAGGATGATATTACTTTATTATGTATGGGAAACAGCAGCTTGAAGATAAAACAAAAAATAAATTGTGAAAGATTGAAGAGAAACCAGATGGCAGGTGGGTCTTAACAAGGTCAGATGAAATGGCTCCCTTGAAGATAGGAGAGCACAATGACCGTTGCAGCATCTCCATGGTCATGTGATCAGAATTCAGATGCTTGGCAACTGACTCATATTTATGACATGTCCCAGGGTCATATGATCACCTTTTGCAACCTTCTGACAAGCAAAGTCAATGGGGAAGCCAGACTCACTTAACAATCGGGTTACTAACTTATCAACTACAGTGATTCACTTAATAACTGTAGCAAAAAAGGTCATAAAATGGGGCAAAATTCACTTAACAACTATCTCAATAACAGAAATTTTGGGCTCAATTGTGTTATAAGTTGAGGACTATCTGATAGTGTCAGAGTGCCAAAATAATCTATAATGGAGACTTTGCTGATTTCCTGGCTGTGAAAAATTAAGCTAAATTATATCTGTAAGCTGGACATATGTTTATAATATTTTATATTTTATATTTCATATTTTGTATTTTTATCTCTTGTATTTTTATTGAAAGGTGAATGTGCCATACGATAAATAATAATAATCTTTAACTTTACACCACAGTGGCCTCCAATCATATGCAAAGAAGTTAAAAATCTCATTAACCAAATTAAGCATGGTAAAGACCTCAGAAATAACAGTATCCCCCCTGAGCTAATTAAATCCAATTCAAATTGGTAGATCCCTTTATTGGCTTCCTTCTTTTCACACATTAAGATTACAGGTCTCGGGGGAAGCTGTAATTGTTCCCTTATGTAAAAAGGGTGATAGGAAAGCCCTGGTTAATTATAGACCAATTAGTTTATTGAACTAGTTTATTTACCAAACTATATGCCAGGTACCTATTCACCAAACATCAAACTTGGATAAGATGAGGGAATAATTTACCCCGAGCAAGCAGGGTTTCAACCAGGATGATCCACTGTAGACCACTGCCCAGTATTTCAACATCTAGTAGACAAATATACAAATCATTTTTACTGGAATCCATATACAGCTTTCATTGATTTCAAGGCAGCTTTTTATAATATCTCAAGGGTTAGATATCAACATTCTGAGCAAATCTTCTATAGACAAAAGACTCCTGCTCCTAAATAATAATAATAATAATAATAATAATAATAATAATAATAATAATAATAATAATAATAATAATAATAATAATAATAATAACAATAATAATAATAATAATAATAATAATAATAATAAAAACTGGCCTTAGAATAAGATGTAATAAGATGAGGAGGGGATCTTTCTGACTTTATTCAGTCAAAGGAGTGAAACCAGAATGCATTTTAGCAC